CGGTATAGTATAGTGGGTAGACTGTGGCGCAGCCACACTGCCTCTAACCATGAGCTGGACCTACAGGGGAGGGAGGAAGGGAGCCAAGTGCGGAACCACCTGAGGCATAGACAAAACCTAAGTGGAAGCACGGTTGTTCCCTGCTCACTGTTGCTAACTGCCCGTCATTGCCAACCGCTCATATATTCATGGGGTTGTCTGTGGCAGGAATCTTGCTGTGTGTATGGTTTCAATTTAAACACAAAACACTGGTTTTGTTGACTACGAAAAATAATCTGATCTAGGTAAGAGTAACTACTTGTGAACGTTGACTTTACCATTCATTTATCCTTTGTTGTTTTTATGGCCTAGGTGTTGACTAACATCTGTGATGAGAACGTCAGTTTCTCTTTTCACGTTCTTATGGCTTTAGGACTTCGGAACCGGGGAGTTCCTTCGTCTCTGTGCCGCTTTCTGGTTACTGAGAGGAACCTGTGAAGTCAGAACCAAATGCTTGCTTCCTGCCCAGAGCCCCCTCCAGTGGCTCACCTTGCTCAGCTGGCCACCTCCTTCTTGGGCAGGGCACCGCGCCCTGGCTTAGCTCCAGGGTGGGTCCTTTGTCCCATGCTCGCTTGTGGATGATTCCCGACACTTACCCCTCCTGGTTGCCTTCTATATTTTCTACAGGGTCCATTGAACTAGACTTCTACTTTCCCCCCCGGCGGAGCGTGCTGTCCGGCGTCACCCAGTGACAGAACAGACCTGACACGCGGGGAAAACATGACGTCAACCTTGTGAACAAACACCAGACTTGGCCTAAAGTTGAGGCCACTACGTGGGGCCTGAAATGTAACTACATTTGGTGAAAGTCTGAAGCAACAGGCTAACATTTTACTAGCATAAAGCCAAAATCACTCCTGGAGATAAAGAGGAGAAAAGAAGGCCACAGTAGAATAATCTGATAGAGATTAAGTTAAAAAAAAAAAAAATCCTGAGTACATAAAGCCATTTTCTTTTACTCTTGCTCAAGGACTAGGTTAAATAAATAGAGATGAGAAGTAGCACAGGCGATGACTAGCCTGGGTCAGCAGGAATGCAGCCACAGCAAATCGCACACAATGTTGCGGTGAGGGAGGCAAACCTCAGGGTATAAGGCGAAGGACAGTCTCCCCACGAGGGGGCCGACAGCCATCAGCACAGGCCTCACAGGCACATTCTTACCTTTCCCTTACTATTGAACTCACAAACAACTTCAGTTCTGGACAGCTTTAAAAGCCAACGACAAGACGATGGTGGCAAGCATCCTGAAAACCAGGGAGCATGCATTTTCAGCCATGCACTTTTAACTTGTAATATTTTCAACTTATTGAAGGCAGGGACAAAAAGCAAGTTATCATACTTGCAAGGTTTCTTTTATTTTCTTTTATTTATTTGAGAGAGAATGAGAGACAGAGAGCACGAGAGGGAGGACGGTGAGAGGGAGAAGCAGACTCCCCACTGAGCAGGGAGCCCGATGTGGGACTCGATCCCGGGACTCCAGGATCATGACCTGAGCTGAAGGCAGTCACTTAACCAACTGAGCCACCCAGGCACCCATTTTATTTTATTTTTTAAAGATTTTATTTATTTGACAGAGAGAGCGAGCGAGAGAGGGAACACAAGCAGGGGGAGTGGGAGAAGGAGAAGCAGGCTTCCCGCCGAGCAGGGAGCCTGATGCGGGGCTCGATCCCAGGACCTTGGGACCACGACCCGAGCCAAAGGCAGACGCCCAACAACTAAGCCACCCAGGTGCCCCAATAATTCTTGTTTTATTTATTTATTTTAAAGATTTTATTTATTTATTTGACAGAGAGAGACACAGAGAGAGAGGGAACACAAGCAGGGGGAGTGTGAAAGGGAGAAGCAGGCTTCCCGCCGAGCAGGGAGCCCGATGCAGGGCTCGATGCGGGGCTCAATCCCAGGACCCTGGGATCATGACCTGAGCCAAAGGCAGATGCTTAACGACTGAGCCACTGAGGTGCCCCTCTTAAGTTTTAAATTGTATGCTGTTCTAAGCTGCATCATGAAATCTTGTGCCAACCTGCTCTGTCCCACCCAAGAGGTGAATCATCCTCTTGTCCCGCATATCCACATTGTACGTGCTACCCCCCCATGAGTCACCGAGCCCCTTGGTTATCAGCTTGGCTGTTGTTGTATTGCTGTGCTTGTATTTGGGGAACCCCTGTTTCACTTACTAAGGGCCCCAAAGCACTAGGGTGGTGATGCTGGCAACTTGGATATTCTCCTACTGTGCCTAATCTACAAATTAAACCTTATCATAGCTATGTATATATAAGAAAAAACATAGTATATATAGAGCTCAGTACTATGTGCAGTTTCAGGCACCCACTGGGGTCTTGGAATGGATACCCTGTGCTGTACTTTGATCAGAGATCCAGTGAGCCACCAAAGGAGCACTCAGCAACTGGATTTCTCCAAGTGTAAAAGTATAGTTCTCATAGCTCAGACAGGGTGCAAGTTTGAAAAATCAGGTAAAAACCTGTATAAACAACTTAAAGAGATACAAAGTTCAAGTTTCAGGTGAAGCAATTTAATCTTCAAATTAGAGTAGGAAAACTATTTGCCATTCCTCTCCCCGTTTGAAAAGGCAGGAGGGTCCAAGTTTTCAAGATCTAATTATGGCTCTGGCTTCTCCAACATGGGGACTTGTCAACTGTAACAGAGTATGTCATTGACAAAATGGAGAGATTTGACACATTTCGCCCCCAAGCATTTGTGACCCGTCATATAACGCTTAAGACACCTGAGCATGCCTAGGTTCTAAAAGCAGAGGCTTATCAATAATCCTCAACTGCTTCTGACAGCACTCAGGCCTAAAGCTCATTCACGAAGATGGAGAGCACAACTTGAGTACCTGCTTGCCCCCAGGCTGTACTGTGAGGTACCAGGAGGCCAACCATGAGTATAGACAGAATTCCCAAGAAATACTCATCCAAATTAAAAAACCTGCTGCCTAAACGTCAAAGCTCTTACCCCTAGAATGTAAAATAACTGGATAACTCTGTTACCCAAATTTCGGAAAGGGAGTAGGCTGCACGAGGACATATGATTCTAGACACTTTCATTATAATGTGTCCTGGAGAAGATAGTTTTGGACTGAAATTCTGGTGTGACTCACCAGCTTCAAAAACTTGGATGTCCAAATGTCTTCCCTGGTTTGGGGAGTTCTCAGCCACTACATAAAAAAAAAAATTTTTTTTTTAAAGATTGTATTTCAGAGAGAGAGAGAGACAGTGCAAGCCTGAGGAGGGGCAGAGGGAGAAGCAGGGAGCCCGACTTGGGGCTCGATCCCAGGATCCCCAGACCACAACCTGAGCCAAAAGCAGCCGATGCAGGACTCGATCCCAGGACTCTGGGATCATGACCTGAGCCAAAGGCAGATGCTTAACCGGCTGAGCCACCCAGGCGTCCGGGGTGGGGGGGGGGTTGTTTAATTGTGTTCCGTAAGTCCCATAGGCTTTCTTCATTCCTTTTCATTCTTTCTTTGTTTCTCTGGATAATTTCATACCATCTGCCTTTAAGCTCATGGATTCTTCCTACTGTTCATTCCAGTCTGCTGTTGAAGCTCTCTACTGAATTCTTCGGTTTAACAGTTGTATTCTCCAGCTCCAACATTTGTTTGGTTCTTTTTTATGTTTTCTCTTTGTTGAACTCCTTTTGTTCTTGTGTTTTTCTGATTTTGTTAAACTGTTTGTTTTCTTGTAGTTCTCTGAGCATCTTCCAGAACAACGGTTTTGAATTCTTCATCAGGCAATTCATGTATCGCCATTCCTTTGGGGGTCAGCTACTGGAAGTTCACGGTGTTCCTTTGGTGGTGTTGTGTTCCCCAGTTCTTTGTGATCCCTGTCACCTTGTGTAGGTGTATGTGAGTTTGAAGAAGCAGTCACCTCCTTGACTTTATGGACTGGCTTCTGTAAGGGAAGACTGTCGCCCGTGAAGGGGGGCTGCTGGAGCGGGCTGTCTCCAAGACTAGTCGTGCAGGGTACCAAGTGCGGGGGCTGCGGCAGCACCAGGTCTGACGCTGCAGTAGTTCAGGCCACGGAGGCTCACAGCATCAACTGTGTGGTCCTTGGCAAGCACTGGGCGGGGGGGGGGGGGGGGGGAACGTCTGCGGTGACTTCAAGGGCTGTCGGGATCCTCACTGATGACTTCAGGTCCAGTAGCTAGGGACCGGGGCGGGCAGCAGCGGCCAGGCTGGGCGTGTGCACGTACTTGGCTGTGGGGGCCAGCTGCAGGTGTTGGTGTCATGGCCGGGGCTGGGGCCAGAGCCAGCGACAAGGGTTTGGGCCAACTGCAGGCCCAGAAGCATGCAGCTGGGGCACCCCGGCTGTTGGTGTGCACTTCTCTGGCTGCAGGACGGACCAGTGATTCGAGTCTGGTGGCCTGTGAGTGCACAGCTGGAGCGGCTAGGGGCAAGTGTGCGCGTGGCCCTGGGGGTCAGCTACGGCATGGGGGCGGGGGGGTTCGGGCTGGCATCTTGCACCCGCGGAGCTGCAGATCCCGGGCTCTGGCAGGGGCACTGGGAGGGAGCAGAGAGGAACCCAGGCATCTGGCACTGGGGCAAACAACAAAGAATGAAATCTGTGGGGGGCCCACGTGGGTGAGCTGCAGGGGTGCGAGCTGCCGGGGTCCTCTGCAGAGCAGGTCACTGGCAACCGTGGCTGCCACCGACAGCCCTCGACCCGCTGCCTTGTTCTGAGCCGTCTCCAAGGTCTCAGCGTTGCCGGCCTCCGGGTGGGGTAAAGCTGAAGCGGGTCCTTTGTGTGGTGCCCCCAAAGCCTAGGGAGACTGGTCCTTCCCTCCACTCTCCCTTCCCTGCTGAGAACTCTTCCCAGCTGGGGAGTCCTCACGGTGCTGAGCAGTGCTGGCCTAAGAGGAGGCAAGAATGCAGGCAAAAGAAACTGTTTCTTCTTCCCTTTTCTGGTGGTTATTCTCAGGCTTTCTGTCCCACTGTGTTGACGTTCTTTTTTTTTTTTTTAAGATTTTATTTATTTATTTGAGAGAGAGAATGAGAGACAGAGAGCATGAGAGGGAGGAGGGTCAGAGGGAGCAGCAGACTCCCCGCCGAGCAGGGAGCCCGATGTGGGACTCGATCCAGGGACTCCAGGATCATGACCTGAGCCGAAGGCAGTCGCTTAACCAACTGAGCCACCCAGGCACCCCCACTGTGTTGACGTTCTTAAGTGGACTCCTGAGCTCTCTTGGAGCTGATTTTGTGGCTAGCTGTCTAAAGCTGTCCAAGTGGATCTTTGTGGGGGCAGGCTGGGCTCTTCCACCTCACCAGCTTGGTGATGTCATGTGAAAAGGGCTCTAGGAGTTATGAAACTCCCTCCCAGCCAGAAAGGGAGTTAGCAGGATCATATGACCATCCTTCGGGGATTTTGCAAAATCGGATCTCGCAGTGCATAGACTGGCCATCCGAGTACTTTAGAAAGTCCTGGGGACAGAAATGACTCATCTGTGCCTTCCACAAGCACTCCCATGTGCCAGGCCTGGGCACACTGAAGGCAGCCCTGTCCTCGGGAGGTCTCAGCCCAAGAGAGAAGACAAGTAAGGATAAGAGACAGAGAAACGTGATCAGTATCAAAAGCAAGGTTAGGTCAGAGAATGCCAAGAGCAGAGTGTGTCTGCACATGCGCAGGGGCGGGAAGGGGCTTAGAGAAGGCTCCCAGCAGAGGTGCTACGGCGCCCCCTACAGGACAAGCGGGCTGAGCTGACAGACTTGCAGAGCCGGTGGGGGTGCGTCACAAGGGAGGAAAACACAGTCCATGCAAAGGCACAGAAGCAATGGGAAAGCAGGGGCATTCGGAGAAACGTGAGTGTCACAGAAAAGCACCATTCTCCCCTGCAAACGGGCATAATACGTACTACGGGGTATGTGATGTACATTTATGGCCATGGAAACAAACAATGACTTTTCTGGAAAAGGGAATGATGCGGGAGACTTACTCTGAATTACTCCTATTACAAAAAACAAATTCGATGTAAAACGATTTGAGCCCCCCCCCCATACAGAAATCAGCATTTTATTTGATGCTGTGCTGGCCGTCCTGGCGTCCCTGCTGCAGGCACAGGGGTCCCCGGGGCCAGGGACGGCGCTGCCGGCACAGTTAGCCACACGCTCCGAAAATACGGTACGGAAGATGAGCATTTTGCTTTCTCAGTACCTGCCAGAAAACTTTATATAATTGCAAGATAAGAAAAAACATAACCATCTTGGCTTTGTATCAGTGTCTTTTAAGAAGTTCTCAATGGTGGGGCGCCTGGGTGGCTCAGTCGTTATGCGTCTGCCTTCGGCTCAGGTCACGATCCCGGACTCCTGGGATCGAGCCCCGCATCGAGCCCCGCATCGGGCTCCCTGCTCCGCGGGAAGCCTGCTTCTCCCTCTCCCCCTCCCCCTGCTTGTGTTCCCTCTCTCGCTGTGTCTGTCAAATAAATAAAATCTTAAAAAAAAAAAAGTTCCCAATGGTATGGTGATTATATAAAATTAAAAAGAAATTCTTTTCAGAGATGCATACCGAACTAGTTTGGGGTGCAATGACAAATGCCTTGGATGTTTCCAAATACTACAGCATTGAAAAATGGGGCAAAGGTAGAGCAAAGACACACACAGAGGTTCCCTGACCGCACAATCGTCCTCTCACAGTAAGCCGTATTTCCTCACCTGAGAGGGTGATGGCTGACACTCAGCCACGGGTCTTCCTGAATCTGCTGGGTGTCCTCACAGAAATCCCTCTCGAAGTCTAAAAACAACTCCTTGAAGAATTTAATATAATTGGGAAGTAACCAAGCAACAACTGGGACAAACTCCGATTATATGTATATGAACAGGTAGAATGATTAGGAAAGGGACTCACTTTACAACTGGCACATAAAAAAAAATGATTAATAATTCACAGGTGTTTTAAGGTCCCTCTAAATCTCCCCTCCAAAAAAAGAAAAAAAAGGGATAAATTTGACAGAAAATGAAAAACCACCTACTGTGTTGCAGTTTGAATTGCTAATGATTTAAATTTCTAATTTCATTTTTAATTTTTTAAATTAAAAAAAAAGATTTGGCAGAGAGAGAGCATGAGGGGCGGGGAGAGGGAGAAGCAGGCTCCCCACTGAGCAGGGAGCCCGATGTGGGGCTCAATCCCAGGACCCTGGGATCATGACCTGAGCCGAAGGCAGACGCTTAACCACCTGAGCCACCCAGGCGCCCCTATTTTTTATTTTTTAAAAAGATTTTATTTATTTGACAGAGAGAGAGCGAGCGAGAGCGAGCTTGCTCACACAAGCAGAGGGAGCAGCAGAGGGAGAGGGAGAATCAGGCTCCCGAGCAGGGAGCCCGACTCATGGCTCGATCCCAGGACCTGGAGATCATGACCTGAGCCAAAGGCAGATGCTTAACCGACTGAGCCACCCAGGTGCCCCAAGTTTCTAATTTTAACACCAGATTCTTCATCACTCTGAATAATACTGATCTGCTAGGAATCCATGTGCCTTAAGATTTCATAAGTCACAAAAAATAGGTTTTTAACAAAACCATTAGATTCCTAAACTGCAACGTTCTTATTTTCACTAAATGCTGGACTTGTAAAAGAACAATTTCAAGTTTAAATGGAGCTTAGAATATTTTTCTAGGAAGACCGAAAAAATATTTTACTAGAGATGTGAATTAAGAGTATCCCGAAAACCTAGAAAGTTGTGGAAAATGTATACATAACATTTACTAGACTATAACATATATTTCGGTTTTGCCGATTCCTGGCAAGGAGCTCCTAAAACCCTTGAAATTTCCTGTGATGGGGTGTGTTGTGTTAGTCACAAAACATCCCCTCTGGGCACGCTGGGGTTTATGCTCATGAGGTGCCGTAGGGTGGGGCCCCTTGAGCCTCAGGATGGGACTGGTCACCAGAAAGACCAAATCATTAGAGGGGCTGGAAATTTTAGCTCCACTGCCTCCACTTGGGAAGGGTGGGGGGAAGGCTGGAACATGATTTGATGAGTCTCCAGGTTGGTGAACAAGAACACATCCTTGGCTAGGAGGATGGTGCACCCCAAACTCCAGGGGGACAGGGGCTCCTGGGCTCGGGACCCTTCCAGCCTGGGCCCTATGTATCTTTTCATCTGGTTGTTTGTATCCTTTGCAATAAATCAGCATTCGAGCAAGAATGGTTTTTCTCAGTTCTGTGAGCCATTCTAGGAAATGAATCAAACCCAAGCAAGGGGGTTGTGGGAATCTCAGATTTGTAGCTGGTTGGTCAGAAGCACAGGTAACCTGCTTGCTCCTGGCGCTGAAGTGTGCGTGTGCGTTGAGGGGCAGGGCAGACCACGCCCAGAACCTGTGGGATCTGCGTTATCTCCAGGTGGATAATAATGAGAACGGAATTGGCCACCCCGCTAGGATCTCTGCAGACTCAGAGAATTGGTTGAGGGTGCTGGAAAACACTCCACTGAGCAACACTGAACTATCTTCCTTCTTCATTTCTCCCGAAGGCTTTTATTAAGAACCACCATGGTTTGGTTCTCCAGCAACTTTTATTGGTCAAAGGATGTGGAATTATATGCAGGACCTGTGGTTTAATGAATAGGCTCATTTATAAACCAACTTAACATCTTATTTTAAAAATTCTTGCTTTTGAATAAGCCAATGTGGTAGAATAGACATGCTCCTATCCCATGCAAAAAGCTGTTCAAAAGTGAGCAGCCTGCAAAACTACCATAAATGAGACATTGAATCGAATGTTCTTCCAGCCAGGTCCCAGAAGTAGTTCAGTCTGAGAATTTGCTTCACATTCTGACTTGTCAAAATGAAATATCCATGGCATTAAAAAAAGCAAAATTAAAATACCCCGAACAGATACATACTGATATTTTTATCCAAGTCACTTTCCAGAGTCTGTGATGCCACTGTGCTCTGTTGATTAAATCAAACAACAAAAGCAGTGGGCAGCTTCTAACTGAAAGGTAATGAGATCTACCAATCAGTCTGCAGCTAAAAGTCACAGTGAAAGAACATACAGAAGGTGAAGAATGCTTTTTAACCTTTAACCTTAAATAATACTGCATTTCAACTTTAAAGAAAAGTTCTATTATATGTTTTTTGCATTGACATTTTAAAATATTAGAACAAGTCTTTGTAATACAATATATATTATACTTCAATATACCTTAGGTGAATTAAAAACATGTCAACTTGATAACTGTAGTAAGGCATTTAAGTATCCAGCAAAAGCTATACAGAAATTTCTTAATGAGTGGTATTCCTTTAATACTAACTTGATTTAGTGGGTTTCCTTAAAATGAACACAAAACAATGAAAGACTCAAAAAAGAGGCAGTGACATCATACACTGAATCCCAGGAAAAGCACAGTAACAAACAACGTTTTCCAGCAGGGAGACCAGAGAGAGCAACCAGAAACAGGTGAGCAGCCTCAAATTACACCGTCCATCACATTTACGAAGAGCTGAAAGCAGAATCGACTTCCTAGTAAGTGTGGGAGAAGGTAACAGAATCCCTAGTGCCGATCACAGTGCCTAAAACACAGCAGGTGCTCAGGCTATGCTTCCTGAACTGATCTGGACGAAGATACTTTCAAATCACTGGAGTGCTGGACAGTGTGAAGTTCACGGAAAAACTCCATTTTTCATTTTATTTCCGTATGTGAGGAACTACTGACCTAGTATTTCAAGGGTGGATTATGTAAACACTTTGTGGACTGTGGCAAACGGAACGAAGTGAGCGCCGCACTGGCCATCAACGCCAGAGTCTTTGCCTATCTGGTCCTAAAGAGTACGCTGTGCAAGACAAGATACCTGACATGATGATCAAAGTACACCTCACCAGTAACAGATTTCAGTTCGTATGACTAAAAAAACACAAAATTTTAGACTGCATTTAGAGCAGCATTCTATCATACCCTACATCAGCTACCATGCTGTGGAGACAGATTGTACAAGAGTATACACAGCACAGAGTCAGGACTGAAACCAAGAGCAGAAGGGAAATAGGCAACAGAAACTTTTTACATACATGTACACACCTAATGGTACTGTCCATTTAATGAGATTATCATATGATTTGCTCTGCCACATCTACGGGCTTACATAACACCCCAAATTATTTTTCTTTGCACAAATATCTACTTCTGTATAAAGTAGAAAAAGATGGTGGTAAAAAACTTCTTCTTCAAGGTCCGACAACTGTGTCCCAAATACCACTGTATGAATACCTAAAAAATATAAAGAGTGATTTAGAAATATGCATAACTATAAAAGTACAGACAAATATAGCTTAAAGTCCCATAGGGACTTAGTGAACGTAACTTCCAACTTTACTTAAACTTACCTACACCTGTTAGATAATATGGTAGGAACATAAAAAAGTCCACTGTGGTAAATGGGAAAAAGCTTTAGAAAGGTAAAAATCTCCATTTGCGAATTTTATATATAAGCCTTCTATTTTAGCCACACATTTAGACTTCAATTTACCCAAAAAAGTCTCCTTATGGATACAAAGGCAGAAAAATCTCTATCCCAATTACTCCCACCACCTACCACTCTTCCTTTCTTTCTGACCATGAGCCTAAGGATTTCCTATAGTTTAAATTCTTTCAAGCAGAACATCTTTTTTAATTGGTAGAGTTTAATCTACCATTTCCTATTTGTCTGCTCTGTTCTTTCCTCCTCCTTTCCTCCTTCTGCCTTCTTTTCGATTATTTAGATTAATTATGTGTTTATCCCATTTAAATTCCAAATTTAAATTTGGCTTATTAGCCAAAACTCTTTGTCATATTATTTTAGTGGTTGCTTTACGACTTTTTTCTTAATAAGATTTTGGCTTTCTTTGAGCAGTTTCAGGTTCACAGCACAAGGGAGGGAGAAGTCTATAGATTTCCCATATGCCCCCTGACTTCACAGATGCAGAGCCTCCCCCATTAGCGACATCCCGAACCAGAGAGGTACATCTGTTACGGCTGATGAAGCTACACTGACACATCGTCATCACCCAAAGTCCAGTATTTACATTGTGGTTCAGCCCTGATGCTGTACATTATATGGGTTTGGACAAATATATAATGACATGTATCCATCATTACGGTATTATACAGAGTGTTTTTGCTGCCCCAAATATTGTCTATGCTCTGTCTATTCATCCCTCCCATCCCCAAACCCTGACAACCACTGATCTTTTTATTATTGTCATAGTTTTGCCTTTTCCAGAATGTCATAGTGTTGGAATCATACAGTATGTAGCCTTTTCTTCAGATTGGTGTCATTCACTTAGTAATATGCAAGGAAAGTTCCTCTCCACTTTTTCATGGCTTGATAGCTCATTTCTTTTTAGCACCAAATAATAGTCCATTGTTTGGATGTACGCAGTTTAGTTATCCATTTGCTAAAGGCCATTTTACTTGTTTACAAGTTTTGGTAATTACGAATAAAGCTGCTATAAACATCCATGTGCAGATTTTTGTGTTTTCTTTGTTTTTCTTTTTAAGTAGGCTCCACGCCCAACGTGGGGCTTGAACTCATGGCCTTGAGAGTCAGAGTCACATGCTCTACCAGCTGAGCCAGCCAGGGGCCCCAGATTTTTGTGTTTTCACCTCCTTTGGGTAAATACCAAGGGAATGAGACTGCTGGACCATATTTACAGATATGTTTACTTTGTAAGAAGCTGCCATACTGTCTTCCCAAGTGGCTGTACCATTTTGCATTCTCACCAGCAATGAGTAACAGTTCCGACTGCTCCACATTCTTGCTAGTATTTGGTGTTGTCAGCGGCCTGTATTTTGGCCATTCTAACAAGTATGTTGTAGTGCTATCTCATTGTTGTTTTAATTTGCATTTCCCTGATGACATATGTATGCTGTGCAGTATCTTTTCATATACTTACTGTCTTCTTTGGTGAAGTGTCTGGTATAGTCTTTGGCCCATTTTTAAATTGGGTTGTTTTCGTACTGTTAAGTTTGAAGGGCTCTTTGTCTATCTGGTAACAATCCTTTATTACATGTCTTTTAAAAATATTTTCTCACGGTCTGCGGCATCTCTTGTTGTCTTTCCTCGAGCAGAAGTTTTGTAATGGAGTCCAGCTTATCAATGAGGTCTTTCATGGACCTTTGGTGTTGTATCTAAAAAGTCTAGGTTTTTTTCCTACGTTATCTTGTAGGAGTTTTATAGTTTCATGTTTTACATTTGGGTCTATGATCCATTTCGAGTTAATTGTTGTGAAGTGTGGAAGGTCTGTGTCTAGATTGTTTTTTGCATGCAGATGTCCAGTTGTTCCAGCATCTTTTGTGGAAGAGACCGTCTTTGCTCCATTGCCTTGTCTTTGCTCCTTCATCGAAGATCAGTTGACTATACTTATGTGGGTGTATTTCTGGGCTCTCTATTCTGCTCCACTGATCTATTTATTTCTTCTTTCATCAATACCAAACTGTCTTGACTACCATAGCTGGATAGTGTCTTGAACTCCAGCAGCCAGTCCTCCGACTTTGTTCTTCTCCTTCAATCCTGTGTTGGCTATTCGGGGTCTTTTGCCACTCCATAGAAACGTGAGAATCAGTTTGGTCTTCCTCATAAAGATCTTGTACATATTTTGTCAGAATTATACCTAAGCATTTTCTTTTTTTGACATTTTTTTTTTTTAAAGATTTTATTTATTTAACAGAGAGAGACATAGCAAGAGCAGGAACACAAGCAGGGGGAGTGGGAGAGGGAGAAGCAGGCTTCCCGCAGAGCAGGAAGCCCGATGTGGGGCTCAATCCCAGGACCCTGGGACCATGACCTGAGCCGAAGGCAGACGCTTACTGACTGAGCCACCCAGGCGCCCTAAGCATTTTCTTTTTTTGAATGCTAATGTAAAGAGTATTGTTTTTATTTTCAAACTGCACTTGTTCATCAGTGATACAGAGAAAAGTGATTGACTTTGTCTACTAACCTTGTATCCTGCTATATAACTGTGCTGTATAAGCGCTTAGGTAGGAGTCTGTGGATTCTTTTAGATTTTCTACATTATAGATGAGCATGTCATCTGTGAACAAAGACAGTTAACTTCTTCCTTCCCATCTGTATACCTTTTATTTCCTTTTCTTATCTTAGCTAGAACTTCCAGGATGATGTTGAAAAGGAGTGGTGGGAGGGGACATCCTCACCTTGTTCCTTTTAATAGTGGGAAAACTTCAAGTTTGATGATGTTAGTGGTAGTTTTCCATAGATATTCTTTACCAAGCTGAGGAAATTCCCCTCTATTCCTAGTTCACTGAGAATTTTCATCGTGAATGGGTGTTAGATTTTGTCAAATGATTTTTCTCTTGATAGGATCATATAATTTTTCTTCTTTAGCTCATTGATGTGATGGATTACATGAACTGAGTTTGGAACACTGAACCCGTTATGCATACCTGGGATAAATCCCACTTGGATGTGGTTTATAATTCTTTTTGTACATTGCTGGATTTGATTTGCTAATATTTTATTGAGGATTTTTGCATCTATCATGAGAGATATTGGGCTGTAGTTTTCTTGTAATGTTTTTGGTTTTGGAATTAGGGTAATGCTGGCCTCATAGAATGAGGCAGGAAGTACTCCATCTGCTTCTCTCCTGTGAAAGAGATTGTAGAGAAATGGTATAATTTCTTCCTTAAATGTTTGGTAGAATTCACCAGAGAACCCATGTGGGCCCGGTACGTTCTGTTTTGGAAGATTATTAATTATTGGTTCGATTTCTTTAATAGATGTAGACCTATTCAAATTGTCTATTTTTTTCTTGAATTTTGGCAAATCATGTCTTTTAAGGAATTGGTCTGTTTCATTTATGTTATCAAGTTTGTGGGCATAGAATTATTCATAGTGTTCCTTCATTATCCTTTTAATGTCCATAGGATCTGCAGTGATGTCCCCTCTTTCATTTCAGATATTAGTAATTTATGTCCCCCCCCTTTTTCTTAATTAGCCTGGTTATAGGCTTGTTGATTTTATTGATCTTTTCAAAGAATCAGCTTTGATTTTGTTGATTCTTCTCTACTGACTTTCTGGTTTTAATTTCATTAATTTCTGCTGTAATTCTTATTATTTCTTCTGCCTATTTTGGATTTAGTTTGCTCTTCTTTTTCTAGTTTCCTATTGTGGACACTTAGATGACTGATTTTAGATCTTCTTTCGTTTCTAAGTATGCATTCAATGCTATAAATTTCCCCCTAAGCACTGCTTACATGGCATCCCCCCACATTTTGATAAGTTGTGTTTTGAATTTCATTTAGTTCAAATGTTTTTAAATTCCTCTTGAGATTTCTTCTTTGACCCATGAGTTACTTAAAACTCTGTTGTTTAACCTCCACATATTTTGGATTTTCCAGTTATCTGTTAATGACTTCTAGTTTAATTCCACTGTAGTCTGTATGATTTCTATTCTTTTAAATTTGTTCAACTGTGTTTTATAGCTCAGAATGTGTATTCCACTGTTGTTGAAATATCTAATTTTAATTATACAATCACCTCTGGGTTTCATAATGTAGCTGCAAAAGCAATGACAAGCTGTATAGTTAAGCAGGTGTAGAACTCCCGAGCAGTGAACAGAGTTTAAGGTAAGAGGGCCAGCACAGACGCTGTGATGAGAGCACCTACCTGTACACTCTGGCGCTGCTCCTAACAACCACATTCCTGAGCGCTTGGGGCCTGTGCGCGACGTGGTGACCGCAGCTGTCTCAAGGCGGCATCCCCATACTGAATACCAGAGCCCATTCTTTCTGGGTCCAGCTCACCTGAGGACCAAGCAAGTCTTCTTTAAAAAAAGCTTCTATGTTTCTGTGATCCCAAAAATATACTAAGTGAAAAAAGCAAAGTGCAGAGCACTGTGTATAAACAGTTGGTTTGAATAATAAGGAAAAAATATATACATGTTTTCTTGTATGGGCATAAAAATATCTTTGGAAGGAGACAAGAAGTGAGAATAGGGGCGCCTGGGTGGCTCAGTCAGTTAAGCATCTGCCTTCGGCTCAGGTCGTGATCGCAGGGTCCTGGGATCGAGCCCCACATCGGGCTCCTTGCTCAGCGGGGAGCCTGCTTCTCTCTCTGCCCCTCCCTCCTGCTCTGCTCTCTCTCTCTCAAGTAAATAAATAAAATCTTAAAAAAAAAGTGAGAATAATAGCTGACTTCAAGAAGGAGTTTTAGATGGCTTGGGGACAGAAGAGGGGTTGTAATGGAGGGAGACTTTCACTGTATCCGCTTTTTATTTTTTGAATTTGGAATTATATGAATATATTGTGTATACAAAGATAAATTAATTTAAAATTAAGCTACAAAGAGACCATTTCCTACTTACCAGACTGGTAAGAACCCAAGTATGATAATACAGCCTGTGGGCATGGCTTCAGTGAAATAAGCACTTTTATTCATTATAGTGGGATTAAACCATGCTAGGAGGAATTTGACAGCCTCTACCTAAATTCCAAATGCTTATGTTCTTTCACCTAGCAATTCTACTTCCGGGAACTTATCCTATACATACACTCCACACATGGAAAATGATATATAAAAGGTTATTTACTACAATATTATTTGTGACAGCAAAATGCTGGCAATACTCCAAATGTCCAAAGTAGACTGGTCAAATCATAGCAATACAGACAACTGAATATTACACACACACACACAACATGTATGTATGTGCATTAGCATACATATGTATATGGAAGTCTCTATATGTTCACTTAATGATCCACAGGTCTAGTAAGTACATAAAGCAAGGTACAGAATTTATAGTATGTTAAGGTTTGTGTAAAAAAAGAGGAGGAGGGGGGCCTGGGTGTCTCATCTAGTTAAGTGACCCACTCTTGATTTCAGCTCAGGTCATGATTTCAGGGTGGTGAGATGGAGCCCAGCATCAGGCTCCACCCTTAGCAGGGAGTCTGCTTCTCTCCTCCTCCCTGTGCCCCTCCGGAGGCTCACATGTGTGCATGCTCTCTCTCTAATAAATAAATAAATCTTTAAAAAAAAAAAAGGAGGAAACAGCAGTTTTTGAATCATATGAATGTACTGCCTGTTCCGAAAATTTAAAGTACTGCTGAAAAATTTTAACTTACACCTTTATATTTTTTCACCTAGATGTAATTTTGATTTTGATGATCTCAGAAGAAATATATCTTGAAAATTTTCTGAGTCAACTTATATGTACTATATCCATGGATGCAGTATTAAGGTAGCAAGGTAATTAAATAAAACCTTGTGCTAAGCTTAATAATACTCAACACCAAGCCAATTTTAATAACAATGTTACAGAGTCTTTAAAAGTTAACAGTTGTTTTTGTGACAAATTTAGTAAAAAAAATTTTTTGTTTTCAGATCAAGAAAATCCACAAGGATGAAGTGTCCCTCTCTTCCATCTGGGCCCTTGACCCTCTCTCCCTGCACCTCACCCAGCACCCTACTGTCTCTGTCATCTCTCCACCCTCCTCTCCTTTCCCTTCCCTTGTTTTCTCTCAGCATTCACACATGCTAACATTTCTTCCATCACCAAAACCTCTTTAAGTTAACCCTTTGGACCCTACTATACCTTTTCTTTTCAAGAGAGGAGTCAACACTCACTCTACTTTCTCACCTCCTCTTTGTTCCTCAATTGCTGTCTTCTGTTTTCATAGTTCTACCGGAACTGTTCTTGATAAACATGCCCAGTGACTTCCTATTACCCATCCCAGGGGATATTTTTTAGTTTAGTTCTTAGCTTAGGAGACTGTTTTCTATTGCATTTGATAGTGAATAAGTCTTTGACTCTCTTATCATTTTGGCTGAAATGACACCCACTTTCCCCTGGTTCTTTCCATACATCTCTGACCATTTCCTCCTCTTTCTCTTTTCTAGGTTCCTCTTCTCCATCTCTGTCTCCAAGGTTCTGCTTTTGATCACTGCTTTTCTCATTCTCAGCTGCTCTCGGATGATCACATTCCTTTCATGGTTTCAACTACTCCTAGGTACTGATGGCTTCCAAATGTATACGGCCAGCCCAGACTTCTCCCCAGAGCTTATGAGATAATCCCATGGCCTTGTGCCAGTGGTACTGCAAAGGGAACACATCCAGAACAGAATCATCTACGTCCCCTGGAACCTGCTTATCCTCTGGTTTAATGACATCTCTTTCCCAAGTTACCCAAGTGTGACATCTAGTTACCCTTGGCTCCTCATGCCTTCCTGACCCCACCTCCTCACCACCACTCCCCACCCCCAAATCAGTTGCCCTGCCCTATTTAGCACATGAGTCATATGGTGCTACTACCAAAATATTTCTTGGATTCATCTGTATCTCTTCGTCTCTACTTCCACATCCTCCTTAAAGCTTTCATCAGTCATCATTTACTCAGATTACTCAAAAATGCCTTAATTGGCATCCTGGTCTCCTGTCCTTTCAATCTGTCCTCAACATGGCACCTACATACATGATTTATCTCAAGTCCCAACCTGACCATATTGCTCACTGCTTACCATCCTTGAATAGCTTCCAGTCCTCTACAATCAATCACATAAGAGCACTTTTAGAAATGCTGAGGCCTAAACCATACTTAAGCCCAATTAATCAGCATCTCGACAGGTGGGGCCTGGGATCTGAGTTTTCCTGCATCCCAGGTGACTCTAGTGTACAGCCAGGCTTGAGACTCAGTAACCCACAAGATAAAGTTCCAGATCCCTGATGAGAATCGCTAGCCTGGCTGCCGCCTCTCCAACCTTCTCACCTGCCATCCCACCGTAGTCTCTCTGTTCTAGTGATTTTTACTTTCCGGTTACTTTCAAATCATGCTGTCCCCTCTGCTGGACTACCCTCCTCCCCACTCCCTTAGCCAGTTCACTCTTCCTCACATTGTGAAAGACTGAGCTCGGCTGTCACCTCCTCTTGGAACTCTCTCGGACACGACCTCCATGACCTAGCTAGGCAGGTTCCCCTTCTCTGTGTGATCCCAGGATCCTATGCACCCTTCAGTTATTGTACCACCACACTGTATTGTAATTATTTTTTGCTGTCTCCCATGAAAGAGGTTCTTGAGGGCAGGGGTTATGTTTAAATCATTTTTGTATCCCAGCACCTGACAAAGAACAGACATTCAGATATTTGAGTGAATCAATTAAAAAGTGAATGTCCACATATAATTCTGGTAATCTTTAACTCAACTTTATTTTTTTTTTAAAGATTTTATTTATTTATTTACTTGACAGAGAGAGAGCACAAGAGGCGGGGAGCAGCAGGCTCCCTGCTGAGCAAGGAGCCCGATGTGGGGCTCGATCCCAGGACCCTGGGATCATGACCTGAGCTGAAAGCAGCCGCTTAACCGACTGAGCCACCCAGGCGCCCCAAAACTCAACTTTAATAAATGACAATTACAGAGTATTTTGTCAGCTGCCTAAATTAGGATTATTTTAAATTCACTTTTCCTGAAGCAACAAATACAACACTAATGAGACCGGTTACTACTGAGGCACACTCAGTTAGCTTCAGGAACAACTCTCCATGATGCCCAAGCTGCAAGTATCAACATCACGCACGTATCTATAACTCTCTTAATCTCACACAGGCGGCCCCCCATCATGCCACGGGACCACTGGCCCAGCAGGGCTAGCGAGGTGTTGGCAGAGACTGGACGAAGATCCAATCTTCCTGCTCTAAGCCGTGGACCACAAAAGGCTGTGGTTCTAAAAGCAAACTGTCGCCGAAACCCTGACTGCCCATCCTCTTTCACCAGTGGTGCAACAAAGCCATTCTGGAAAAGTGGGGCCCTTGCCTCAGCCACGGGGGCAAGGCCTTCGAGACCGTAAGTGGCAATTTGAGGTTGGCAGGGGTAGAGAGAATGCTCTTTGACCAAATCACGCCTGGAAAATTAAAAAGTGGTACTCCTGAGCTAGAGAGTAAAATATGCTGAAGACAAGTTTATTAATGGAAAGCCTTTTACCTGATTCAATTTTGTTAAGTATTTTTCTCGCACATTGTACAAAGGCCTCCTCCACATTCTCCCCCGTTAGTGCACTTGTTTCCAAAAACATCAGCTCTAAAAGTGACAGCAAACAAAATGCGAAGCTACGTTTAGAAGGCGATCACAACTGAGGTACCGACAGCCTGTTGAGGATTCTCTCCGAAGAGCGGGCAAAATGGAATCTGTTACTTAAAAACCACATATTTCTGCAAATACAGAATCAATAAATGTCAATATATTTTGTTAAATGCTAGAAGAACTCTCAGCCTTCCTCACCAGCGTCGGGTATCTTGTGCTGGCCCTCGTCTACTGAAGATGCACGGTGAGGAAGCAGGCTGCCTGAAGCCGCCCAGCGGTCACACGAGACGAATATTCTCCCAAAACTCTTCACGTCACCACAGATACCACGGGGGGGGGGGGGGGGGGGGCTACACTGCAGCTTCTCATCCTGCCGGTGACGAGGTCCTCCCTGGACTCATACTTTTCTTACCCACCAGAGCAGTTACTAACCCTTGCTTCTGTATTTACAAGCTCACGATAGCTTCTGTTCTTCTCACATGCTTATTTTCTTAGCATAAAACCAGTCAATTTGTAAGAATATAATTTGGTAGTCCTAGAGTCCAACTGAAAATCGAGACTAGGATATTTTAAGTTCTTGACTGGTTCTAAAAGTTAAAGTTCTTTAAAATATCTCAATTCTAATCATTCCGTTACCTATAAAGCAACCATTAATTTTATGTGTCATTCTCTGGTTTTCTATATGGAAATTCAGAGAATTTTCAAAGGCATATAACCAAATGACTTCAATTTAATGTAAGTAAAATAAAACCAATGAACCCAGTATTTCTTCCACCATTTTCCCCTTCTATTTAGAACTAACGTTTTACCAACTTAGCTCCAAATTACATTAGAAAAAAGGACAGGCCATCATGCGATTAGGGCCTTTAAAAATTATTACAAACTTAACTTTAGACCAAGGCCTGTGCTTAGACCAAAAAGTCATAACAGAATATTAGTACATTTGCTTTTATCATCATCATAACCTTTGTAGGCAGAATGCAATATAGTGAAAATATGCTAAGTAAGTCTAACTTTACTGAAAACACTGGGAAATTTCACATTTCTTGAGTAACGTTTAATCTTAAAATTCCAATAGGTGTAAATTCAAAGCAATGTTATTACCCCCAAATCTGCCCATTTGAAAAGCAGTAGTAGGTAAAAGGTCACTTGCCATTTTCTTGAGCAAATCTGGAAGCTTCTAAGAAAGTAACTTCACGATCTGCATCCAGGTCCTTCTTGTTCCCACAGAGGATGATCACAATGTTCTGACTCGCTAGCATTCTGGCATCTGTTAACCAATTAGTAAGCGCATTGTAGGTTTCTCGGCTGCGTAATATAAGATTGTGAAAATAGTACATGTATTTTATAAAGCTAGCAACTCTTTCCAGTCATTCACACTACTCACACACTGCTTTTGCACACGTCAGGGTAATGTCGACAACCTTTAAGGTAACACAGGTAGCCTGAATGCCCCATTACACACCATACCACAGGGTGTGATTGTTTTGTTTCCAGAAAAATGAAACCGCAAGTCAGATATTTTGCTGTTTGATTTTGCCCGATCAAGATGCAAAAGGAAACAGATGTTCCTTTATTCATTTTACAAATATTTACTGAGCTCTTAACTCTTAGCTCAATTATGTGCGGCATCGGTGAGCAAGATCTAACATCTGCTGCATTTACCAGCTCTGTGCAATATGGCGGTACTTTGTTCTGGAGGAATTTATCACGTTCTTTATAAGGACTCTGTGACACAGACTCTATTCCCCCTTTCCATGAGAAACCCGAACCCAGAGTTTGATTAAGTTGTCCCAAGTCACACAAGCAGCCAGCGGCAGAGGCAGGGCTTGACCAGGTCTGTCTAACCCCAGGACCAAGTCTGAGATCTACTGTGTTCGGCTCAGATACATCTGGGGATACGTCTGCTCTGCCGGCGCTCCCGGACAGCCGAATGACTTCGCACGTTAGCAAGCTGAGCCTTCCACCACCTGAGCAAGTGCAGGCGGGCTGGGCCAGGAGCTGCCCGCTTCCTCGCCAGTGTGCCTCATCACGAACACGCAGACTGGGTGTGCATCACAGCAACAGCGACACCCTCTCAGCTGCGCAAGTTCCTACCCAGACGGCCACCAGCGGATAGGGTGGAGATGACATTTTTAAGGTGGTGCCAGCAAACACTGAGATCGGCACTGTCTGATGGGACTTCCAAGGACAAGAATGTTCTATAACCCACACCGTCTCATACAGCAACCACCGGCCACATGTGGCTGCTGGGCACTTGAGATGTGACAGGTGAGACCAAGGAGCTAAGTTTTTAATTTAATTTGTGATATGTGGGTGATAGCTACACACAGGACAGTGCACTCACATTCTTATGATGTGCCAAGAGCTCTCCATTAACCAATTTAACCACCTGAAAATCGCATAACACAATCATCATTACTCCATATAACAGACAGGGAAACTGAAGTCCAGACAGCTAGAGCACCTTGCCCCGAGGACATCACACGGCTAGTAACCTGCACCTGAGGTCTGAGCCCAGGCAATCGGGGCACAAAGCCTGTGCCCTCAACTTTCATCGATGTCAATTACTTCTAATAATTTACCATACATAAACTTTCACTTTGTGAACCTTGAGGAATATATCAAAGCATCAAAGCATCATGCTAAAAAACACAATGAAACACTAGGGATACTTTATGTATCTAAAACCTCACCCAAAGATTTCCTTACCGGTTAAGTAGTGGTAGGGGTTGACTCAAACACCTCTAAGACCCCAAATTAAAGGACTGAGGGGATTCCAGATTCCCAGCCACACTGCCTATCCTGACACGCAAAACACACACTACACGCAGGTGCGTCTTGGGAAGACCAGACTTTGGGGAGCAGAGCCCCAAGCTGCCTCCCCGTGGGGGAGTTCACATTACCTGGTGATGTCATAGACGAGGAGCGCTCCCGCAGCACCTCTGTAATAACTTCTCGTCACAGACCTGAAAGAATTATACTGCTTTTACTTCCAGCCAATCGAGATCCTTTACTACTGAGCACTGTCACCCATTTTTCTTTGTAAACCTTGACATGGGGACAGACGTTGCTTAAAACAGAAATGATTCAGACATCTGAATGTATGTATGAGGGGCTCCTGTCTGAAGTCATGTCACAGAAATGCTAGGAAGTGGGGGGACGTTAGGCTGAGACAAATATGTCATTTTCTAACAGGTAGATGAAACTCTCCCACAGAAGTTAAGATTATCTTTGAACTTACAGGGAGAGGCGAAGCACTTGAGAGAGCTAGATGGACACTAAGTGCTCAGCAATCCTACTCTGCTTCCTCTGGGGGTTCCAGGTCTTCCCCATGTCCCTGCAGAGCTGCTCCCTACTCTTTCCCAGGGAAAAGGAAAGTCCGCAGAGGGGAATTGGCTCATCTTCCAACCAGGAACCCACAGCCAACTACCCGCCCCCACTCCCCCGCACTCACCTTTTGCCTCACCCCACTTACTAACAAGGAAACATGGCTTTACCTATCTTACCTGTCTCCACCGAGTGCCTCTGAACGTCTTAGCCGTTTTCACAGTCCTGCGGGTTACTTTCAGTAACACTTTCTCCCCTGTATTATCAGTCTCTCCCTCTGTTAGGTTTTTTTTCCCCATTAGCAACATAAAATGTGCTCTGGTACCTCCCACCTTAAAATACACGAAGTTATGCAGCGCGATCCTTTCAGAGCTCTTCTCTGCATCTAAATTCCTCCGAAGAGTTGTCTTTGCTGTTTCCTTCTCCTCACCTCGTCTCCCGTCTATGTCCCCTACTCCGCGGTGCTGAGCCCAGCGGCATTTCTTGGTCCTCATCCCTCCACCTTGCCTCGCCCCTCCCCGGATGCCTCCCCCGCTCGACCTCTGCAGCCACAACCTCCTCCTCTCCCACCAGCCAGCGTTCCTCCTCCAGCTCTGGGTCCTTCTTCTGAGCCTACCCTGTCTATACCGGAGTTCCTCAGTGCTGGGGCTCAGTTCTGGGTTTTCTTTTCTATTCACACATGGACTCCAATGTCATCTTCAGCTCAGCCTCCTTCTGTAAGATCCAGCTGTTGCCCCAACATCTCCATATGACTGCCTAGTGAACGTGTTGTACTTCACATTTATAAGACAGAACACTCTGCTTCCCAGCCTGCAGGTCCATCCTGGTTTGGGGTGAGGTTGGGCACCACCATCCCTCTGTTCACACAGCCAGAAAGCTCTGTGTTTATCCTCGCCTCCTCTTTTTGCCCACCTCTGTATTGGACCCATCAGTCAGGTTCCGTCGCACTAACTGAACGTATCCTACATTGTGCATGTCCCGCCATCTTCACTGGTACCATCATAATCCAAATCACCAAGTCTCTGCCTGGACCCCTGCAGTCACCTATGGCTGGTGTCCCCACTACCATGCATGTCCCCACTGCCACTTGTGTCCCTCAGTCTATTCTCCTGAGCAACCAAACTCCTCATCAAGACCTACAAGGCTCCCTGTGCTCAGGGGCTGGAGATTGAGTTCAATCCCCAAGGGGCAATGATTTAGTCAGTCCTGTTTACCTACTGAAACCTCAAAAAGAAACCCTAAATGATGGAGTTTAGAGACCTTCTGAGCTCATGAACACTTGGGGGTGCTGGAAGGGTAGTGCATCCAAAGAGGGCATGGGAGCTCAGCACTCAATTCCTATATCCAATGCCCAATGCATCTCTTCCATTTGGCTGTTCCTGGGTTGTATCCTTTATAATAAACTGGCGACAATAAATACTGTGCTTTTTCTAAGTTCTGTGAGTCACTCTAACAGATTATTGAACCTGGGGGATGGGTCATGGGAACCTGTGACTGGTGTATGAAGTGGGAGCAGGTCTGTGGGATGGGACCCTTAGTCTCTGGGGCCTGATGTTAACTCCAGAGAATCAGAATTAAGTTGAACTACTGGCCACAGAGTTGGTGTTAGAGAACTGGAGCTGGTATGGAAAACCCTGCCCACCTCCCCGCCCCCCCCCCCCCCCCCCCCCCCCCCCCCCGCCAATTTGGTGTCAGAAAATAGGCACCACAGAACACTGCCTCCCTTTAGGGCAAAAAGAGAACTGGGGACCTTATCAACAATGAACAAAAGGACTCATTATGACTTTGATACTCTGAAAAGGGCAGCTATTTTTAAATGTATTTTTAGCTCCTAAACTCCACAGGCAGATAGGTAGCCTGAAGCTTCCCCTTTCTACCTTTAGATTGCTCTACAGAGGGGCATATGCTTTAAGAAATGGCAGAGAGGCACCGCGTGAGCAGGATCAGATCCTTAGTTCTTCCCGGGGTCGCCTCTCCAAGGGGGGGGAGGGCTCTTTTCCACATATGTGAAGAGACAACTCTTTTTCTGTTTTAGTTTCTAGAAACCAGCAGGTTTCTAGAGAAAGAGGTATGTAAGAGTTCTCAAGAGAAACTAAATTACATCTGCTACAAAGTCATTTATTTCACTGTACCCTGACACATGGGGTCTAACAAATTACTCAAGTATACAAGTCAAATGCTTAAGAAAAGTACTTTTTTGAGGTATTTAATTTTCTCAAAAGTAATTTAAGCCAGAGTAATACAGGCACCTAGTTTGGAAAGCAAATATTGCTAACAGGCCCGACGTGAAAGTCTGCAGTCTCCTGCCTCACTCTTCCCTGGGAGTCCCACTCCCAAGGCCTCTGGATTTGATTTTTTTCCTAAATTAAGTCATTAACGGAATACACGTTAAACATCTATGTGCTAGATTCTACCCTGGGCTTTGGAGAAGCAATAACAACAAAATACAAATGTCCCTACTTCCATGGATCTTAGTTTTGTTTTTCTGGTATTTGCTTCCATATTTCTATAAAATGCTTATGAAACTATCTGACTTACGAGTTTCAGGGTTTACTGCCTTCCTGCTTTGGTAAGACTCTATCTCACTCATACGCTCCCAGCCCCTTCCCTGCATCTCCCCCTCCTCCTCCCCCTGTCAGGCAGCACCCTCTCCTGACGGCCGCCCTGTGACACCTATGTCCTGGCTCGTCTCCCCGGCTGGGTCCCCTGTTGGCTGGACTTCACCTTCCTCTTTCAGGGTTTACTTCCTTGTGCTGATGAAGTATATCCTCCTGAAGTTTCTAAGAAAGAATACGTGAAAAGATAACCTATGTTTCCCCTATACTTGAATATCTAAGGGCCTTCTGACTTTATTCTCACACTTGATTGACAGTTTGGCTAAGTTTAGTATTTAGGTTGGAAAGGAATTTTTCATGCTGAGTTAGGAGGGCAAGGCTTCAGTATCTTCTAGCTTCCGAAAGTTGCTGTTGAACAGTATAATGCAATTCCTTTTGCTAGTCCTTCAAGGTGACTGTTTTTCTTCTTGGGATCTTTTTGTATCTTCACTTCATCCTTGTCCTCTGAAATGTCACCTGATATACACTAGTTGGAACTGTTCCCCCCATTCATTTGTATTTGGTGTGAGGTGGGCCCAATACATCTGGGATCTCATCTCTTTGGTAGAAAATTACAGAGATTAGGCTGTTTTATTGGGGAAGCCAAAATGTTAGTATATTTAGGCCTTTCCTTTGGAGCTATTCATTTTTCTGTTTCTCCTGCCTGAGAGTACATATACACCTGGCTGCCAGCAACTGGAAAGAGGTGGGGGAGGGGGGCTAGGGGGTGCAGACTTGCACTAATTTCCCTCCTTTCAGTCCCTCCCTCATCCTTGCCTCTGCTGGGCCTTATGATGCACGCTGACCCTGCTTCAACTCAGAGACTGAACTTCTGCTCAGGTGGGTGCATGCACACGCATATGGAAGCACTAACCGTCCCTCCTGCAGAACCCGGTGCTTCCTCAGCCTGACCTTTTCCCGGATTCAGCGGGAAGAACGGGCCTCCAGCTCGCTGGCCTTCCCCTGTTACAGGCACTTAAGGCGCAGCTCCCTCGGCTTTCAGTGAGTCACCATCCACTCCTTATCGCTACCCTTTTTTTTTTTTGAAATCTCTTCATCATAACTATGTACTCCCCCTTTCTGGGTCTTTGTGAGTTCATGCCATTTCAGTTGTTTTAGAGTCATTTCAGCAAGGGTTTGGGGGGAGAAAACATAAGTCTGGATTGAATCCACAAAGTTTAATCAGTGGTTCCAGAAGAAATGATTGTGATTAAAGATTTTGAAGCAAACAATTATTGAACATTTCAAATATAATATACACCTGACTTTAATGCTGTAAGTGAGAGTGAGTTTTACTTAACTGAATTTTAAGACTGTGTATATCTGTTCTATTTTGACTTCGTGTATCTGTTCAAACACCACTACTACAATATTAATATTAATCCACTTTCTTGCTTTAGTACTTACAGAATATTAAACATGTAACTTCATTTGCAGTGGTCTGCCCAAACATCAATTATGACTGTAGTGTAATAAAAATGTGCAGGAGAGAATATTTGGTGGAATGTGTATCAACCATCAGAACATGCTCTAGTTAGTATAAAACAAACAAACAAAAATGCCAAAAGAGGTTTTTAAAAATTCTGCCTTAAAAGTGAAAGAGAAAAACTGCTGTGCTATTACTTTGCCTTAATTTTAATCTAAAAGTATTACTGCAGGATACACAATGCCACGTCCTCCCAATGTAGTCACTGGTCCCAAAGAATAAATTAGCCTCTACATTAGAGTGCGCTCACTCGAGAGATTCGAATGCATTCTTTAGTAAATCAATGCTGCATGGAGAAAACTTGACTTTTAGCTTGTCTTAAAGCTTCCAGAGGTGAAGTTTCTGAAATCTGTGCGGGGAGGAGGAAACTATATATATGAAGAGACTATAATTGGTTATTTCAAATCCAATTTTTAAATATTTTTATTAAATCAGAGAGAAAGCTACCTGAATCGTTCTTGGCCTGCTGTATCCCATATCTGTAACTTTACATATTTACCACCAACATTTATTATCTTTGAACCAAATTCCACTCCTATTGTATGATTTGAGTCATCTTTGACTGAAAAAGAAAAAGAACAAGATATTTATTTTAGAACATTAAAGAAACAGACATACAGATTTAAACAAGCAAAATCAAGGGTTAAAGTCAATGGAAATATAATTTACTGTAGCCTTTCATTTCTCCAATAGTCAGTTGATAAGAAGCACTCACTGTTTTAAACAGAATACACATACAGTTCCTATTCTGAAAGAGACGATAAGGCTCCTTCACAAAACCCCTAAAGCAAACCATTCATTTTAAAGCCTAGGCTTGGAAGTGGCTATGCCACATGAGAATCATATCTACCTGTCCACTGGGAGGGCACTCACAGGGACTGCACAAAATACCTGGGGGCCAACCTAAAGGGCTTAGAGCCCAGTGACAGACTGCAACTCAGTCAGGAATGAGGTGGTGACCGTTTCCACTATTTGAATGGATAAATAGTCCAAAGAAATAAAAGGGAAGGAAAAGTACTTCCCGTAGCCCCCAAAAGAAACTTGATGGATACCCAAGATTAAGGGAAAAAGAGGAAAAGATAAACAAAACAAAACAAAACCAAACAACAAAAATTCTGAGCATATGATAGCTGTTGAGTTTGCATGAATTTGAGGATTGTGTGGCAGTAATTTGGAATGAATTTGTTGGAGAAGTCAATACTATCTGTATTGGGTGGCAGGCAAAATAAGTAGCTCACTAAACCCACCTAGAATGAACCGTAAGTGTTTCCTGGGGCCAGGGGTGGGGGGATGAAGGTTAATACTGACCACACCAGCCTGTCTCAGATGATGTGGAACTAGTGTGGACATTCTAGAATTCAAGCTACCAAGAAACCTCAGAGTAAAAGCCTCAAGGGTTATGGCTAAAGTCCAAGGGCGTCCTGGTTACAACATGGCCACAAGACGAATAAAGTGAAGCCTTTCCCATCATGCTGTAGACCATGCAGACTAACCCAACACACATACCCGTCTCCTTGGTGAGGAGTTAGGGGAGGACTGTCAAGGGAGAGCTTGCCACAGGGGGAGGATGCAAAGATAAGGAGGCGGGTTCTGGACCCAATATCCTTGGGGCATTTTTTTCTGAGATGCTACAATGCAGTCTTGGCAACTTGTGAAGAGACCTGGATGCCCCCAGTGAGTGAATACTTGTTCATTCAGCGAGGACTGGCTCCGTGACTAACCCACACTGGCTCCGTGTCACTAAACAGAGGTCCCAACAAGCTCTTGGATAATGAAAACGGAAGTAGCAGAATATATTTCTACAGTTTTATTCTTCAAAGCTCCTTGCCAAGGACTTCCTCTGCTGTCTGTTTCCCCATTTTACCCACCACCACTCAGGTGCACATGCTTAAGATGCACTGCAGTTCAGTGAAAGTAAATCTGTTTTTGTGCTTTCACCTGACTGCCGTGAAACAGGTCATCCTCCACAATTCTTTCCATGATTGTAAAAGCACTGTTTATTTTAAGGGGCTTTCAAACTTACAAGTCTTTTACAATACTTTGGAATTAAACATTCAATTTCCCTTACCAAAACAGTGCAAGCCAATGGCAACAAGATGGGTCTGTGGTCAAAAGACCTGGACTTGAGTCTAACCAACTCTAGGGGACCATCCCAAGGGCACACACCCCCTAACTGCTCTAAAGCTGCTTCTTGAACCTGCAAACCAGAACTGATGACAATAACTGCCTTCACTACAGTACAAGCCACCGAGGACCCAACAGGACTGTTTTATCTACAATGTACTACTCGGGCTTCTTGGGCAGCTCCCTGTCAGGGAAGCAAAGTCCTCTGCGGCCTTCTGCCTAACCCTGTTGTATTTCAATATCTGCAATGTACTGGAGTATCTGGACAATGCACAGTATGATAATATATTGAACAATGAACCACCATAAAACTGAAATAATAAAAACTCAGTCATACTGCTAGAAGTTTAATATAACATAAACTTTTAATGTTCCTTTAACATACTTTTAAGCTGTAACTTTTTTCCTGAAATAATATTCAGAAGTTTTGCTATAAACAAATCTGAGCAAGAGAGCACTCACGGGAAGACATGCATCAAACACTGACATTTTTTTTCTGATGTCACTTACATTTTTTTTCTATAAACTGATGAAGCAAGCAAGACTTGCCAGTTCCTGCATTTCCAATAACCAAGAACTTAAACAAAAAATCTGAAAAACAAAAAGAGACCATGAAAAATAACTTTAAAACATGTGCTACAAATTTATTCTTAGACTATGATCAAAAAAAGTTAATAAAATCTTACTTGTTAATGTAACAGAAAAAAGAGGCAACTATTCTGTGAAAACAACAAAAAACATGTCAACTTACATTTTCACCTTTTTGATATTTGGCTTTACATGCCAATTCAGTGGTTTTCCAAACACTGCTCATGGGAAAACTTCCTTTGATGTTGGAAGTTTGAAGACTAGTCTTGTAAAATTCATTCCTTTGCTAGTCACTATTCAAAGAAATATGAATAAGTAGGGACAAAAATAGTCTAGAAGTTTCAAGTGTTTTCTGTACAAAAGAAGAACCCTGGGAAACTTCTAGGCTTTGAGAAGTCCACGCCCTTCTTCTTTTTAAAAAATAGGTATGTTTCCCCCACCCTTGCAGATTTTTGTGGTCTTGCTTCTATTTCCTTATCTGCACCTTGAGGGAAGGACGGCTTAAGCCAAGTTTGGGTCAGTATTCAAAGTAGGAAATTTGTCTTATTCAGTGTAAAAAGAATTCTTCATTTCTTCTTTACACAGAGTAATATATTTAATTTGGAATATTATTTTCCATAAAATGGAAATGAAGACTCTCCAGAATTTGTTAATTGAATTAGCATGATGTAGCATCAGTAGCCCCACGTTGCCTTACTGATTAATTTTGCTTTTTCTGTTAGCAAAGAACGTTAGTTCTGCTGAGACAGGAGCTGCAGAGGACCCACTCCCTCCCCCACCCCTCACACCTTGATCAGAACCCACCACTGCAAACCCCCCTGCTGCTGGACTCATTCTGAGGCCCTGAAGACCCTGCTCTGTGTCCCTGGTTCCCTGGTTTGCACCTCTGAAAGTGTTACCTCCACATACCTTTTCCAAACCCAGACCGAGCTCTCCTAGCCCTGGCTCCTTCTCTCCCCCACGTAAGTCCAAACAGCCTATTTATTTGCTGACACGTAGGCTGGCCCTGTTTCTTCAGAACTATATTAATCATCACTCAAAGATGAAGCCTATTTAACCTCTCATGATTTTTACATGGTTACAGGCAATAAACTTATAGGATAATGCTATTAGAATTGTAAGCATTTAAAAATAACAAGTTTTATGTTTCTCACCACATGTTTTTAAAGCATGCCACATTCATGTTCACAGCAGCATTATTCACAGTAGCCAAAAAGAAGCAACCCAAGTATCCATTTATAGATAAATGGACAAACAAAATATGGTGTAAACATACCCTGGAATATTACTCAGCCTTGAAAATGAGGAAACTCTGACACATGTTACAACATGGATAACCCTCAAAGACATTATGCTAAGGGAAACAATCCAGTCACAAAAGGAGAAACACTGTAGATTCCATTTATATAATGTACCTAGAGTAGTCAGATTCAGAGACAGAAAGTAGAATCGTGGCTGCCAGTGGCTAGGGAAGGGGGGAATGAGGAGGTACTGTTTAATGGACATGAGTATCAGTGTGGAAAGATGGAAAAGTTCTGGAGATAGATTGTGGCAATGGCTGTCAACAACGTGAATGTACTTAATGCAAACGAACTGCAGACTTAAGAATGGGGAAAATGGCAAATCTTATGTAATTTTTCTACATAGACACACAAAATAAAACATGCCAAATCTAGTCATGTTCATTGAACAGCTTTCATAACCTAAGAAATCAAAGGTTAAGATTGCCAGGTTAAAATGAAAACACTGGAATTTCTCAGTTTTGTTCAATATCTTCTTCTATTTAAAATATAAAGCCCAATACACTGTAAAGTTGATCCTTGAATAAGTACATGGTTTCACTTATTGTGGATTTTTTACAGTACAGTACTATAAATGTATTTTCTCTTCCTTGTGATTTTCTTTCTTTTTAAAAAAGATTTATTTATTTAAGACAGAGAGAGCATGCGCTCACGAGAAGGGGCAGAGGGAGAGGTAGAGACAGAATCTCAAGCAGATTCTGTGCTGAGTGTGGAGCCTGATTCAGGGTTCGATCTCACAACCCTGAGATCATGACCGGAGTCAAAACCAAGAGTTGGACGCTTAACCAACTGAGCCACCCATGTGCTGCCCCCCAACCTTTGTGATTTTCTTTAAAGATTTTATGTATTTGAGAAAGAGAGAGCATGAGTAGAGAGGAATAGAGGGGGAGGGAGAAAGAATCTGAAGCAGACCCTGCACTGAGTGTAGAGCCCTACTCAGGGCTCGATTCCACAATCACAAGATCATGACTTGAGCTGAAACCAAGAGTCGGATGCTTAACCGACTGAGCCACCCAGGTGCCCCCCTCCTTGTGATTTTCTTAATAGCATTTTCTTTTCTCTAGCTTGTTTTATTTTAAGAATATGGTATATAATGCATATAATATAGGAAACACGTGTTAACTGATTGTTTATGTTATCAGTAAGGCTCCAGTCAACAGTAGGATATTAGGAGTTAAGTTTTCGGGGAGTCAGAATTTATATGTGGGTTTTCAACTGTGCTGAGCGTTGGCGCCCTTAACCCCTTTGCTGTTCAAGAGTCAACCATATAAGTTGCAAACAGAAAAAGGTGAGAGCCAAATAAAGATGCTGCCAATATATAGGAAACAATAAATACTGGCAAAGAAAAGAATTTGTATTTGCAAACTGAAATGTTTCTTACGTTTCATATGTACACAGAAAAATGAGTATCACAAATCTGTGTGATCCTGGAACAAAAACTCATATATCTAGACATAGACTTTAGCTTGATTCTTGTTCCACTGTTATTTTCTGCTTTGGAAGTTTTGCTTAAATGTACTTTATTATGGTAATTGTTATCTAGATTGTACCATAGCTCCCAACAGGCAAAAGAGTAACATATCCACTGAACTGCACCTTGCTGGACAAAAGACAAGTAAGACATGTAATATCCACATGTAAAAATTCCTCCATCAAACTTTTTTTTTTAAGATTTATTTATTTGAGAGACAGAGTGGGGGGGGCGGGGGGAGGCAGAGAGGGAGAGAATCTCAAGCAGACTCCTCGCTGAGTGCAGAGCCTGATGAGGGGCTTGATCTCATGACCCTGAAATTGTGACCTGAGCTGAAACCAAGAGTCAGATGCTTAGCCAACTGAGCCACCCAGACAACCCTCCAACAAACTCTTCATACTCTACCTCTTGTAGCTCAAACAGGTAAGTATTCATAATATAGTAGAAAACCTTTTTGTTTGAAAATCCTTTTGGGTGAAACATCTAGAAATGCTGGGTAAAATATACCACATTTTAAAAAAAATGCATAACTGAGCTTTTAGGAAAGAAAGGAAAATTCTATATGCTTGGGAAAGAGAAGAAACAGAAAAAAGCAGTAGGGGCCCAGATGCGTCAGTATTGAGTTTAAAACGTGTGTGGGACAGAGCATAAGAGTTTGCGCCCATGTGAAGGAGGTATGAGTAGAGAGCTAAATCTGAGTTCTTTTCAAAGCTCAGCCTGAAGTCAAAGGGTAGGCTGGAGGAAAAAATCTATTCACTAGCTCAGGGAAATGAGGAGCCTTCTTTCACTCTGCCTGGCCTCTTAATGAATGGGAAAAACATTTCCCTTTGAAGTTTAATCATGGGCTTGTATGATAGGTGGGTTTGAAATTCAAATTTAAATAACCATGTGGACAATGAACCTCTAAATCAAGAAATGAGCAACAATAAAAATGAAAGTGACATGACTAGGATGCCTGGAAGAATTACTTTGGCAGGACACACAGGATTCTCACATTTACAGCTCCTTGAAGATGAGCTCACAATCTAAAATTACAAAACACTCAAGGAAACAATCCATCACAAGTGAGTCAGCCATCTACAGACAGATTATGCTTCCAAGAACTTGATTTAAAAAAAAAAGAAGAACTTAATAAAGTACAGTTGATCCTTGAACAACACAGGGGTTAGGGGCACTGACACTACTCCCCTCCCCCATCCCATGTTGTGTAGTTGAAAAACCCACATATAACTTTCGACTCCCCAAACACTTCACTAATAGTCTACTGGTGATTGGAAGCCTTACTGACAACATAAATAGTAGATTTACACATATTTTCCATGTTACATGTATTATACACTATATTCTCACAATAAAGCAAGCTAGAAAAAAGAAAATGTTACTAAGAAAATCATAAGGAAGAGAAAATACATTAACATTACCACACTGTAAAGAAATTCATGTGGAAGTGGACCTGCGCAGTTCAAGCCTGTGTTATTCATGGGTCAACTGTCTACTCAAGATGACAAATACCATAAAAAAGGAATTTAATTTATAAGAATGCAATAATATGAAAGAATAGCTAGATTTCTAGAATGTGTCCAGAAATAAAAATTGTAGTCTTTAAAATTAATGAATGGATGGGTTAAAAAGAGGAATCAATAAAAATGAGGAGAAAATTTATGAACTGGACTGGAGACTGAAGAAAATTACCAGAAGGCAGAACAAAGAGTTGCGAGGAGAGGAAACCATGTGGATTTAAGAAATATGGAGGATTGAAGGAAAAGATCCAATACAGGTCTAACAGGTGTTTGGGAATGGAAAAATAGAGAATGCAGTATAGAGCCAATATTAAAAGAAATCATGACTAAGAATTTCAACAGAATTAAAACTAAAAGGACTGTCAGATCAAAAATAACTGTGAACCATGAGAAGGAGAAATAAGAATAAGTCCACACTTAAACACATCATCATCACAGTGAAACGGAAGAACAAAGACTATAAAGGCAGGAAGAATGGAAAAATTCCCTATAAAGAAACTAGGTTCCTCACCCCAAGGTCAGAAGGCAGTGAGACAGTATCTTCACGGTGTTGAAGGAAGGAGCGTAAAAACAAAAACTGTCTAATGTAGAATGCAATGTACAAGAAATTATACTCAACGCCAAGGTACACCTCTGCTTCCAGAAAGTTGGAATAGAAGTACTTTTTCCTATTCTTCCTGCTCAGTACAACCTAAGACACTAGATATTATATATAAAGGAAACATATGGAGACTTTAAAAAGCGTAGCGAAGAAGGCAGACTGGCCAGGGACCTTGGGGCCTGAGAAAAGACGACACAGGGGTGAGTTCTTTGGGCTTTCCTTTCACCTCACATACCCCAGACTTGGAGCTGAACAAGCTGGCAACCGGAAATGGCAATGGGTGCAGATTTTAAAAAGCGCCCACAGAAAGCTGTTCTGTCTAGCCATAGGGCCAGGTAAGGGCAGCCTAGCAAGTGAGAAAACCTTTACACATCAACAGCTCTACTGCAGCCAAACAGCA